GAAAGCCTCTGGCAGACATCCCAGTCGAGGTTTTTTCGTGAATCTCAGAAGGGTGGCTAAAGTTCTTGGAAGAGAAGATACTTTGGTCATCCGAGCTGAACCCCACACACCAGGGTGACTTTTCTGTTCAGGAGGAACAAAAAACTGCCACATTCCAAATCTTTTTGACAGAACGAAATCTATCGGAGTTTCGGAGTTTTCTTCACAAATATTTGATCAATCGTTATTTGAAATGTTCGGTTGCCTACTTAATACATAAGGTAAATTAAAACTATGTATAAAATAGATAACCACAAAATTTGAAAAATTTATTAGTAACAAAAAAGTATTCATCTTCATTTATTAATCCTACTCTGACAAATCACCGAAAACAATTCACGAGAGCAAATATATTTTTCATTACAGTAATATACGCAATTTTTAAGCAAGTAATACCAACCCAAAAAACAAAAAAAACAATTGTTGCCAACACACAATAATTTTTAATTGTTTTCTTCCTCTTGTTTTTAATTTATTTTAAGCCAAGTTAAATACTCATTACTTAAAGTGAACCCATAAAAATCACGTATCATTTAACAACATTTTATGTGCATTTATTCATCAAACAACATCAGGACGCAAACAAGGCTACCAACCCCACTGACATACAAATCTAAAATTATATAGATACCCTTCGATATATACGAGTACATGTATATGTATTCCTACAACCAGTCACAAGCATTTAAATGTGTATATATGTTCTGCATATATAAATTCGGTACACTTCATATATTAATGTTTAGTTATAAATTTTTAGAAAATTTATGTGTGTTTACTGATGTATAATGAGAGTTGTCAGCAAAAACAGTAACAAAATGTTGATGAAAAAAATAAAATTTACAAAATTCACAAAATTCACAAGAATAACAAAAATAACAATTCCATCACACATTACATACCACAATGCATGTAATTTATTTTTGCAGTGTAGCATAGCTTTTCTGTAAACACATTGGCAATCTTTTCAAGTGTACTTAAAATATGTAAAATTACATTTTAAAAGTATTTAAGTCTAACTGAATGAGCTCGTCTGCATTCTGTGTTTATGGCCACAGTATTTCTTACAGTGTACCATTTGCACACAAATACAGGAGTATATGAATGCATTAATTTTGCTTAATAAACTCACGATAGCGCAGAATGACTTTTTCTAAAATATTACTTACAATTTTTCAAATTTACGATTGCTTATGGAAAAATATTAAATACGTTGTGAAAATGCTTTTTTCGGTTTTTCATTCAATGTTTTCTTTTACAAAACATGATATGAAATAATGAGGCCGCAATAATGTAACTGAACGTCTGACATATCTAAGGGGAAGGCAGCATGATGAAGTGCACTGAAATAATTTTACAATATTTATATGACAGATTTATTTCTTGTGATTCATTTCATTCTAAAAAAAAAGCAAAAAATTAATTTTAAAAAACATTAGAAATTACACTAAAAATTATAAATAATATAAATGATATAAATATAGTTTAATATTTGAAATATCAATAAAAGAATGGATATTATACCTAAACAAAGGAAATGCAATACTTTTCCATTGTAAGATGTGAATGAATTATAAAAAATACCACAAGCAATAGATCTATGGTACTGCCATCTAAAAGTGAAGTGTAATAATATCAAATCATACCTACATAGTGTCATTGGTATCCAGAACTTATGTCGTCAAAATTTAGTATTTCTTATGCTTTACCTGATATCGAGTGTATTACTACGCTCTTCATTTAAGAGTTTGCACATTGTCTTTGATTCAGTAGTTAAGCTGCTAATCTGTTTGTGGAGTGATCATTCTAAAAATTAAAGGCCTTTGCTAACACAGATATCAATAAGCATTTTGGTTGGTCTCGTAAATCAACCTCATAAGGCTTACAAAGACTTTTTCCGTCTTTTGTCTTTTTTGAATTTCTAACAGTCTGTTCTTAACATTCTCGTAATTACTCCTATCTCGGATAAGTTCTTTGGCTTGATTACTTCTTCGGATGCTTGCATGTTCTGAAACCCAATGGAAGCTAACTTTGTGGTCCGTACTAATTTGATTTTGTCTCTAAAAACAGTTCCATACTAATTTGAAGCCAAATTAAGTGCTCAAATGACAACTTAACTATCCGTTATTATAGCTATGGGATAGTCTTTTTATAACCATTAAGGATTTGAATGGGAGACATATTTCAATAGCGAGCATTTCGGCTTGGAAAATGCTGGAATTTCCCTCCTATTTTCTTTAAATCAAAGTTGTATTGTGTCTTCTTTAAATCACCTCAATTTAACGTCTATAATTTAACCTAAAACTTCAGCTGTTCTTTTGTTATGTTAACTACAAATTGTGTCTTTAAGTAGAAAATTAATATTTAAGACGACTTTAAAATAATGTTGTTTAAACACATCTTTTAAGCTTTATCCAATACCTAACTATTATAACAAAATCTAACATAATCTAGATGTCAGACTGAATTAAAAGCTCAATTGGTTGGCACATGTGAAAGAATGGGAAAGGAAAGCATGTAAAACATTCGGATTGTATAAAAGCATAACCTAGAGAAACTGTGGTCCTCGTCACAAAAATGACCTTTGGATGCATATTGCAGTCATACGTCTAATACTCTGCACTGGTTGACTAATACACTGAGCAGCATTCCAAAAGCAATGCAATGTACTTTGAACGAATACAGATAACAGCCAAGTATACAGGGACTCAGTATTTGTAACCAATTTGTAATACAACGAATGATTCAAAACCATGCTTAAGATAGAAGAAGCATATTTGAGTTAATATGCCATCTAGTCCGTTAGTAAATAATTAATAAAAAAAAATGCTAAAAAGCAATTAGATAAAATCATATAGGATTACTATATTTTTATCAATGTTTCGAAGAAGGGTTTATATTCCTTTTTTGGCCTAGGATAGGTGCAAAACCTTATTTAGTTTAAAAGTAGTTGAGGAGATCCTTTTACAATGGAAGTAGGCCGGTCTATTACAAGCCAAAGTTTGTATGTCAATAAGACTTGTTCCTTGTTCTTAAAAACGTGTATGAATAACAGATACAGGTAACTCGGACAATAAAACTGATATTCTTTCATTATCCAAACATAATACAAGCTCAGAGCTAGATTAGTAGTAGAAAATGTGTCCAATGTACATCCATATTTAGTTATATGGCATCAATAAAAATAAAGATACGAGATTGCACATTATATACAGAAATAATAAATTTTAATAGAAGCATATTACTCTAAAACTGTGGTGAAAAATGAAAAATAGAAAGGAACCCAACCCAGCTGAGCCTCTTGTGTAAGGCTAGTATGGAAGTATATGACACCTGGGAATGTTGAAAGGTCATTGACCGCAAATCTAAAAATGAAGCATTTCGTTTAACCTAAAGAAGATACTAATTATAAATTACATCAATGATAATGCTTGTTGCACGTCCATTTATTGTCACATATTAGTTGGGAACTATATTCATCCATCAAAAATGCCATTCGTTGTGTTTTACCACAATGTTTTTCTTCTCTTTCCTTCTCTGTTCACAATTTATATAAAGAAGAAAGCATGTCATAAAATAAACTGAAATCCAATATCGGAATACAAAAAGTAATACATTTATATAAAAGAAGAGGTAATGTTAGAGAAAACCTCTTCTAAAGTAATGGAGGTGTTAAGAAAGCGCCAGAGGAGTAATCTGAAAATACCCACTTGAATATCAAAGTTTTTCTAACAACATTAAACAAATAAATGCTTTTTGAATATCATCACATCACATCATACCATCACAAATATTTCAGCAGAGCGTACATTAAGTTAATTCTATCAAAATACATTCGAATACGTATGTTCATACAAATTGAAACTGTCTGATGACGATTTTACATTTTTTTCGATATAGAAAGCACATTTTTTTAATATAATAATATTACGATCAAATTAGTGAAAATTTAAATAATCGAATGTTATATATATCAGTTTTTATATTACAAAATATAATCATGAGAAATAAACTACACAGAAAAATAGAAGGACAAATCAAAATAGACAACCACTTAATGAACGTTTGAAATTTTAGCGAAATCATTAGAAATAAACATAGTAACTATGTTACAATGCTAAATTACTACAATGAATAAGTTGGAATTGAGTAATTAACGTATATTGAAAACAATACCGCAAAATGAAGTAATAACATATATATAAGTTCACAGTTTTAGATAAAAAAATGATTTCTTTAAATGTTTACAAAGCTACTCGAATAAATAAATCAATTTTGGGAATGAATGCACACTTGGTACTAGACGGTAAAATAAATTAGTTCACGTTACGAATGATGGAATTGAAAGATTTAAGTGCACTATTTTCTAAAAGTCTATATTCCGCCTTCCGAATGAAGGCCAGAATGTCGGTCGTTGAGGGTCTGCTAATGTCAAAAGGGAAGAGCAACTCTCCTCCCAATGATCTTCTCCTGGCCGAGATTAAGGCTGGGCAGTCACAGAGAATGTGACTGGACGTCTCGTCTGCTTCTACGCTGCGTCGACACTCCATCTCTTCGGCAGACCCATTTTATTAAGGTGATAACGCAGTCCATGGTGACCCGTTAACTATCCCACCCTCAATCTCAACACTGTTCTGCTGAAAAGCGATACCTTACCATATCTGTAGAGGTGAACCAGCTCTTTAGCCTGACGATTACCTCGACTGTCGCGCCAGTAGGGACTTCTCTCAGCTGAGAACCATTTATCAATTACAGATTTAGAGAAGCATTTATCAATCAATTTAAAATATAAACAAGTTTGTAAAATTTAATTTTTGGCTACCCTTGTTCGTTGCTAGACACATTTCTTTCAAATAGTCTAGCGAGTCAGAGTATTTATAAAATTAAATTTCAAGTACTTTAATAAGTTGTTAAGTTTAAATTATAGCTAAAGTTTATATTAAACATCCTTTTTTTTGCAGATATCCTCGATTATCCTATAACAAAGTTTGTGTATGCGTACCGACCGACTGCAGTTGGCAACATAGAGTAGTTGGTAAGCAAAGTATTTGATATTCATGCATGATAGTCGCATTTGAACTCACACATTATTAAATTACTTAATATGCAAACACAATTCAACAGAAGCAAATATTGTACTTAAAGTGACCATGTGTGCAGACGTGCATTGCTTTGTGTCCTTTGACTGCAAGTTTTTAAGCTGGAGAGGGTCTAGTCGAAATGTTGACAACGTTTTGTTGCATAATTGTCAGAATATTTTACAAATAATTTATTAAGTACACACGTACGAGTACGAGTGTAATGACAAATGCAAAAACATTTTACAAATTTTCACCTTTTTGCACAAAATGCAAGAGGAATTTTGTTTGTGAAACTACAAAACCAAATACACTTTTCAAAGCATACTTTGAGGCGTTGAATTATGTTAAATAAGAAAATAATTCATTTAGATAAAAAAAAACAGGTTAACATTCTTGTTATAATGTATAAAATACATTTCCTTAAACAATCACAGTATTTTTTGTATAACCAAAAGCACTACAATTTTACTTTGTTAAACGAATGAAAGAGATTAAAATATAAAGACACATTATGAAATTAATTACATGAAGAAAAATGGATTCATGAAAATTCATGTACAAACAACAAATTTAAGCTGTCACTTAAAAAAAGTGCATTAAATTAAAAACTTCGTTAATCATTTTAAGACAAAATATAGATGCTAGCAATTATTCCCATTGATAGTGCAAACAACACCTTAAAATATGCAACAAAATTCACAATTATGGTACACATTTCGTTCGTTTTTGGTTTTGTTTTGTTTTGTTTCGGTTTTGTTTTGCTTTTATGCAGCTTTATTTGGCTTTCGTTGTAGAAGAAATGCCACAATAAAATTCCGCAAAATAATACAAAAATTGAATATTAAAATTCTTGAAATTTTTAAGCTATTTTACTTATACAGCAATTTATTCTTCTCATACTTTTAACTGTTTTGTTCCGTTGTGTTCTGTACTCTTCTCAGACAATATTTACTTGAGAAATATGAAATCTGCTTGCATACATTCTACGGAATCTCAAAAGTCAAGTAGAAGAAAATAATTCAACAAAAAATAAAAAAAAATTAAAAGAAAACAAAATTAAAAAGCAAAAATAAAAGACAAAACACAAAAAACAGAAAACAAAAAGTGGGTAGGAAATAAAAATTTTATATAAATAAACGTGGATAAGAACCGCATAAATACAATGAGAAATATTCAGATTCGTTTTACTGTTTGCATATTTTTGTAGCTTTATTTGATTTTTTAAATTTTTATTTTCATTTTAAATTCTTTTTATTTTTTTTTTTATTTTTTTTTTGTTGATCTTATGCAAATAAATTATGCAAATAAACAAATACAAATAAACAGTGAAATTAACAATTCGCTTATGAGGTTCTAGGCAATAGACTCCTATAGTAAACTTACATAAACTTTTGCAATAAATAAGGATTAGGTTAGCAATTTAAGACAGTTTACAATCATACAATCATAGTGTGACAAAAACGAAAAAAAAAAATTCGACGCCCAGTAATCAAGAAAATTTTTTTTTTAATGAACAAAAATTTGTTAATGTACATTTATTTCATTTATTAAATGTGCTTAAACTCTTATCATGTGAAGTATCACCTTTCATGGTATGAGCTGCTTGCATTAAAAAGGGATGTAGTTATGCGAACGGAAACCACTACAGCTTTAACTCAATAACGACATCCGAGAATCGAAGGACGAAAAAGAATCCAAATAATTTCGTGGTCTACTTTGGCTAATCCTTCACTTCAGTGGGGCCACTTGTTGGACAGTGCACTGTCCCAACGTCTCACAATATATTACCTTCCATGCACCCATGCCCAAGCATATCGATCCCATTCGTATTGATATTTTATTTAAAAGAGATATTCTTATAGTAGATATTACATTTATTAAGCGAACAATGTACACAAATATCTCAAAACAGCAATTATGACCGCCCTGTATGCTTTGTTTTTCTTTCTAATGAGTCCATTTTTTAAGCTACAATATTACTGGTGTAATTTTGCTTTTCCTAATTCCTAAATATGTACAATTCATGTTTACATATCATTTCATTTGTTGACAAGCAAACCTCCTTCTACTCGTATGGACTCAACCCAAACAGTACGTGCGCATATTATTACATTTTTAAGTAAAATAACATGCAAACTATTTTCAGTTATTATTTCTGTTTCAATTTCACCGCTCCTCCTTCTCCCCCACCCCCACTCCCACTCTTATTCACTTTTTTTACTATTTTCCGACATGTTTTTGGCAATTTCTCAACAAAACAAAGCATAACTTTAGGCACTCTCAGTGAAGAAAAATTATGAACTTTGAAACGAATGGAGTAATTATTGCAATTACGTGTACATTTGCAATTAAAATGTAATTTCACCCAAATTACGTAAAAAAAAAAAAATAAAAATTTTAAACATGAACATAAACAAATCGTTCCGCTATCCTTATTACAATGTTGACACAAGGAATGATATTGGAAAAAAAAAGCAGTAGAAGTAGAATTTAAAAAAAATCACACATACGGTTTCTGTCCTTGGTCGCAAATTTTGTCATCTGACTACATAAAAACATTTCTCCTCATCTGGAAATAGATAAGGAAGCATACTCACTACTTATATTTTGAGCCATGGCAACACTGATTGTTGTCAGGTGTCATCTGACGTTTCCATACGAAAGTTTGTCATTATTAAACATAACATAATTTAAAGCTATCGTTAAAAGAACGTTATTTGTGTTATTAAATATTCGCGAAGAAATGGAACTTATTATCACTTTCAAGACAAGAGTGCGTCGATCAACTTACTTTCACATTTGGCGAAGAAGCTTCATCCTACAATGATTTTAATTGTGGCTACAGATGCCTCATTAATAAAATTCGCGAAGATTGTCCAAATTTAGTTGTTGTGCCAGAAAACATTGAAGCTGTGCAAAAACTGATGCTCATAATGCAAGATCGTCATGCGACACACATTCAGATTGAGGAAATCTTAGGGATTAGTTCCACCAGCATAGAATATTGCATGATCATTCATCCGTAATGAAGATTGGTTCTCGATGGATCCCTTTCCTCATTATTTGATAAAATCTCGATTGGCACACACAAATGCTCAAGAAATACAGTGGCTTCAAAAAACGTTCACGAATATAGAACTGTAACAGATGATTGATCATGGAATTATGCATATGAGTCAGAATGTAAACAGCAATTGACTGTATGGCTATATGCGTGTTTCAAATTGAACCAAGTCCAATAAAATTGCTCGCGATCGTAGTACTACAAAACAAATAGTCGCTTGTTTTTTCTTGTTTTTTCGGGAAAACTGGTCATGTGGCAATTATACCATTGCAGACGCTTAAAACAGTAACGAAGCCGTTGTTGCATTTAAAAACAAGAAATGTTTTGAAGGTGTCTGAAGAAGATTGGAGAAATGGTTCGAACGCATGCAAAAGTGTATTAATCATAAAGGAGCATACTTCTAGAAACAGTAAAGCAATTTTCCACAACAAGTATTCATTATTAGGCTTAAAATATAAATAGTGACCTTCGTATTGCATACTTTTTTAGGGAACTAGTACACAAGAGAACAGTTTACTTTTAAGCTATCTTCAAATCTTTTTATGTCGAAAAGTACTATGACTACTGAGAACGATTGAGAATTATCAGGTCTCTGTATATTAGATAGCTTCACTTGAACTTTAAAAACATTACATTGTGTAGCTCACTCGCAAGAAAAATAACTTACTCTTTGGCTTGCCAACCAGTTAACCACTTAAGAATGAAAAGATCAAGTCAGGTCATGACGAGAATCCACTATAGCCCATAAGCCTATTGTATGTGGTAAAAATTTTAAAGTGGGATTGGGCTCATTTCGAAGAATTAAAAAACTAAATACACATCTCAAGGTAAGATCATGTAGCTTATTAAGATCCTTATAAATGTAGGCTTCTAATTACATCGACTTAAAATTACTATTTAGTAATTTGAGTCAAATTTGTGGGAAGTACAAAAAGCGTATTGAACAGATTTTATTGGTATTCATTGATATTCGCTTAGCTAATATACTCGTTAAGGTTAAAATTTCTCTACAATCATTAGAATCTGAATTGTGGGGAGATGTAAAAAGTACATAGCATTTATTTTGTTTGTACACTGTATTTGTCCATCTTTAGTTCACTTATCTTTGGTACACGTATATGTCTTAAAAGAATTCTGTAAAATGGAGAATTGTTAAAAACAGGAATTTCTTGTACTACTCACACTTTTGACTAATTGAGCTATGTGACCATGGGTCTGTCAATCTTAGAGATTCCCAATCTACAGAGAGTTGTAGTAATATAGGTTAAAACTTAAAAAAACTCAACTATTATAAGCCTACTGTTGGACTTCTTTCTCAACATTTATTCCTTTGAAAAGAAATCCAGAAGAGTGGGCGTGCTTTTTGAAAATAAGATCAGTACAATATATTATGTGCTATGTATCTAAACAGGATATCTGGACAAACTATGACTTTACAAGTAAATACAAGTGAATAATTTTGTCCATTTCTCACATTCAACATCCTTTAACTGAAGTTAGAAATAAAGACAGACAACATATTATTGAAAACTTTAAGATCTCTTGTGACTGTTTCCACATATATACCCAACACAATTTGTTGAAAGTAATTTCGGTAGTATTTTATTATTTTTGTAATTCGCAAACTTTTTTGTAACTTCTCTGTATTTTTCTGTATTTGTGTCCATACATATAAACTAAGTTTTTATTATCAAATTTTATTTGTGTACAATTGTTACGTTTCTCATATATTTTTTATGCTTTTGCATAGCAAAAATTTTTATAGAATTATAGAGGCAAGTGCAGAAATGCACTTTATTTGTGTACAAGTACACGCACATACGAGTATGTGGAATAGAAGTGCACATACCAATGTGGTGTATAAACGCCTATATGTATGCTACACACAATTCTGAGTTAATAGTTTTCCTTTAGAATTAACACATACAAAACTATGCAATAAAATTGTTTGAGGAAATCATAAAAAGTGTTGAAAAGTTGTAAGTTGAAAAGTTACGGGTAAACCTCGTTTATTTGCTGCCTGATATGTGTAGTTATCTCACACATTCGTATTCCTGTATATCCGTAAGTAAATATTTTTATACATAAAATGCAGCCGTATTGATGTATGTAGGCATTTAATTTTTTGGCTTGTGTACTAGCAGTTTTGTCTACTTAATATACGTAAAATAATTACAAATGAAGAAATGAAATAAAATGTTTTTGTGTTGACTTAAGGGATTTTTATGACTTCGTTGGTTATTTTTCTCTTTTTTATTGTTGTTTATGCCAAACGCATATAAAAACTGTTTGTTCACGCCTAAAGTATGCCAATAAAAGCAACTTTTATGCCAAATGAACATAGGCTTTTGCATCCGGTTTTTAGCAATTAGTAGCAAAACCTTTAGATATGAAGAAAGTTAAATTATAGTTTGTAACAGTATTTTCTTTTCGTATTTTTCTTTTTTTTTTTATTCAATTTTAGTAGTTCGTTATTATTTTTACTTTCTTATTTCACTTATTTGCTTATTTGAAGCAAACACATACCATTTGTTTTCTGTTTGTACATTCGAGTCTAAGCATTGCATATGTTAAGGCGTTACGTAGCTAAAAATTCATATTCATGCATAATTACACGGAGTCATAAAACACACGTAACGCCCACACACTACCAAACAAACTCGTAAATTGAGGTAAATTTGTATAATTTCTGCAAAATTTATTTATTCACATGTAGTTTTACAGATAAGCGTATTTGTTATAAACGCCCAGATTGGCAAGGAGCAACGTTGTGTCCATATTTTCATTTGGATTCATTTGGATACGTTTGGATTCGTTCGGCGTTGCATGTATAGTGTTTAAGAAGCAATCACTTGGTTTTCGACGCTATTCAAAAATTCAAATTAAAAAATATTTTCCTTCTCATTGCAAAGAATTTTATGTTTTTATTATTATTTCTTTACTTTTCTTAGTGTAATAAAAATATATATACTCACGCAAATTAAACGAAAAAACAATTTACATGTTGTCGTTGTCAAGATTCGTTTCAGCGAACACTTCGTCTGTAATTGCAAAAAGAAATTGTAATTATTAATACATTACTTCTCATTGAATCTATTAAATTAAAACAAAAATTTAACAACCAATAAATTGTAATATAGATATGTAACTTGATCCTGAACTAGAAGGGTTAAAAAACAACACACCATAACTATTGTGATACTTAAAGCACAGTTCTGTTCTGTTCAGTTATAACTTCTATTAATAAGATCAAACAATAATTACTCTTAACACCAATTCAGATATGTCTATTACCCATTATAATGACCCCAAAATTATCAGAGGAAGCGAGCTATACTAGCGAGCTATGCTATCTTTGTTATGCCATGTGGTCTTCAATTATATGTGATATAGCTAGTTTTATAATCTCTGTCATGGCATTGAAAAAACTATTTTCCAATTTTCAGTATTGTAAAGAACATTATTAGAGTTATGACCGCCATAATTGCATTCACATAAAATAAAATTTAATACAGTGTTGCAAAACACCGTGACCATAACACCACTTTTGTGCTAACAACTGACCTTAATTGAACAAGAAGCATTCAGCCCTATATACCATATGAGGGCAAAAACATGTCCCATTAAATAGTTTCTCAATACAGGCAGAGTTAGGAGTTTCAACGTCAAAAACTTCTTTCAAGCCGAATGCAAGACCAGGCAGTCACAAGGAATTTATTAAAATTTCTCATCTTCCCGCAGACAGAAACGACAGTATGTTATTTCAGATAGGACCATATTGTTGAAACAGTAAAATAGGTTATGGCTACCTCGCAGGTAGGTAACTTATCAAGTATAGCAATCTTACAACTATTGATTTGATATTGATTCTTTCAACGCAGTCTTCACATCATCCATCCACCCACAGCCTTTTTCAATTTACTGTTTCTGTTGTTTTTTTTTCTTTGATCTCGGGTATTGTTAATCCTCATTAAATTTTATTTTATTTTATTTTAATTCAGTTTCTAAATAATAAATATAATTTTAACCTCGGTTCGACTTATTCGTGATTTCAGAGTTCAATATTTTGATTGCTCCTTCTTCTTTGATTTTCGGAGAACTGGATTTACTTTTCGTGAACAGTATATATACATATATGCGCAAAAAATTCGTTTAACTAATAGTCAGTAAATGCGGCACTCAACGCGCTACGAAATTTCCAGTGCCTAAATCTGCACACAATCTCTTCCAAATATGGTCAAGCTAAAGTCTCAGAGTTTTCACGATTTCTTCAGTTTTTCTTCAATGACTATAGATTCCTACTTGATGCACTCTTCACTGTTTCCCTACATGATGGCAGTTTTTAGTCACATAAGATGGTCTGCATCAACAAAATTGATTAGCTCATATATTAACACTTTAAGTCACTCACACATCGATCACCCACTTTTTTTATCAATTTTAACATACCTATATGAATTTAACTTGCAATGGCTTATTCTGACGTTCTCGTAGAAAATTTTTTCTTCTGGTTTGCTTCACTGCTATCTCAATTTAAAGTCGATCGGTGATAAAAATATCAAAGAAAATTTTACAAAAGACAAAAGATCTGATAATTTTCGGGGCATTATTCATAAAACCGCAACAAAGTTTTATGTTCGGCATGGAAAAGTTTTCAAGTACTTTGCAAATATATTTTATGTACTATTAAAAAATTTCACAAAATTTAGTATTCGTTAGTATAAAAAACCCATCTAATACGCAAGAAGTAATAAATCATACGAACTAAATAAAATGTGTTAGTAAAAATACAAGAACATTTACATCTATCCTGGAAGGCATCCTTTTTCCCATTTCTATATATATCATAATATAACTTCATAACTTCATAATACACAAAACATCAAATCCCAAAAACTCAAATCCGAAAAGGATGACAAATTTAAATTTAAGCACTTTTTTTATTGCATTCTTTTAAATAATTCAAATCTAAACTCGGTTTACATACACATATGTATGGTATATTAATACATATATATATATAAAATGGAATGAGAAGTATACATATTCTAAAATATTTTATAAAATTTTTAATTGCAGTTTTGTACATACAAATGGCTATTATAAAGCTCACTAAAATACTGGCGGCCATACGAAAACTCCAAGCCAACCAACCTAAAGGATTAAAAGTACCAAAACAGCAATAAATTTAATTAAAAAATTTTTCTAAATGTTTTATTAAAGTTTATGCTGGTAACACTGCATTGTTGCCAACTTTTATTTTTCATACTTTTAATTATAAATTATGCCAAACTACGTACCACAAAATAAACCAAAAATATTGTAAAAGTACGTATTAATTTAAAATAAAAAAAGTTAGAAGCAAATATTAGAAGGAAAAAAAATTAGCAAAAAAAATATTTGATCACACCAAAATAAAATAAAAAAAAAAAAAAAATGAAAATGAAAATAAAAATAAAAATAAATTTTTTTTTTGAATATTAAAGAAACCTAACAACAGAAAAGATTATTAAAAAATAAATAAATATGAACAGTCTATATTGACAGTAAATATTTTTAGATATTTTTAGTATTTTTAGATACATTAAAAAAAATGAAATATTTCAAATAAAAAAAATGCAATAAAAGTATTATTTTCATAATAAAAAATATATTTGATTTTTTTATTTTTATCTGTGGAAAAATCATATTTACAACACTACCAGAGGCGAAAAAATTTATTGTTGAGTCCTTACAAGTATGAACTCAGAATACTTGTTGGTTCTAAAAAATGAATTGATCTTAATATTTGATGATAACATCAGATGGACATATACTCTAGGATTCATATAACATAAGGCAAATAGGCTGCCATTTTTCCGACAAATGGAGGCCATAATACTTGGAGTCTTGAAATGAACCTCTGATGCAAAAGTTTTAAATGTATTTGATCTCAGTAACTATGTAGACGGAATATGGTGAAAGCAAAGCCGCTATAGGCTCTATTTGAACAGTTTCAAGCAATTGGTAAAATCATATGCAGATTCTTTATGTGAGAATATATAACTTGTACATATTACTTTCAAAAATAAATAATATATAAAATTATGGTTTGTATGCTAACAACAAAAAAATTTCACATATGAAAACCCCAAGATTGTTCAGATTTATTCTTGTCTTTGGCAGCTATAAGGAAAATATGCGCTCCACAGTCTTTTTTTTTTTAATTTCCTCTCCATACATTAAACAGGATGGTCTGTCAACATGTCATATTTCACAAGAAAGAAATAGAATTAAATAATAACTACTGTAACTTCCTAAACCGATATTAGAAATATAGAAAAACTTTGTACGAGAAAATTGTTTATTTTTAATAGATCTATAACTTTTTGCAAGACAGTTTTTATGTAAAATTAAATATGTCGGAGATATAAGCATGGTTATTTTTCATTTTTTTGGGCTCTTATGGTGCCATTTCCACTTATCCAATTGAACTAAAATTTTACACAGATTATTTTTTTAATAAAATGAACCGATCTGGGAGGCGACGCGGAAGATTTTCCGACTATTAAAAATTAATGGCACCCTAATGTATATAGTACATATTTTTGCATGATTTTTCTTTCAAGAAACTAAATTTAGAGACGAGCGTCAAGAATGCGAAACTTTTGGTGTAATGTCAGACAAGTTTTTGAGAAAGAGGAAAGAAAGAGAGAGAGAGATAGAGAGAGAGAGAGAGAGAGAGAGATAGAGAGAGATCGAGAGCGAGAGAGAGAGAGATCGAGAGCGAGAGAGAGAGAGAGAGAGAGAGAGAGAGAGAGAGAGAGAGAGAGAGAGAGAGAGAGAGATAGAAAGAGAGAGAGAGAGACAAGAAAAGTAGAAGACAATGAAATAGGAAAATCATGAATAATCATGCATGGTGCACCTGTTACCTTAATATATATTTAAATTACTCGAGTAATCTTCATGATGAATGTACTTGGAACTGAAACTGAATTTTTAAGTGAACAAACAACAAAGTACTCTTTCTCAACTGCACTAGAAGATAAGTAAATTATAGTAACACTACCAGAATAAACATTTTATTAGAACCAATTAGTCTTTATTTATTTGAATTTGGTTTTAAAAATTTCAGTTACAGTTATTTTAATGGTTAAAAAGCTTAGAATATAATGGTCTTCAAGGAATACTTCTATTATATCTACTTTTTTGCAAATCCATAAGATCAGAGGATTCTATATTATTGAGGACCATAGTTGCAAAACTACATATAAACATTTATACGAACGACCTAACTAAATCTTTTGTTCTTTCTAATAAATTAAATTTTATTCATTAATTTTAACTTTTTATTTTATTTTTTTAATTTATTTAATATCTTCACATGAAAATACATATTTTGTTTATATTTTTTCTAATTGACTACAACGTCGATTTCAGTCAAATTTCTATATTGTTACTCTCTACACTACATATAATTATTTGCATTTGTTGTTAAAAATTTTATAACTTTTTTAAAAGGGTTTCGTTAACTTTTTTATTACTTTTAAATATACTCATACTTTTTTATGTGTTAATCATAAAACACGTAAGGAACGAGGTGTACTCGTTCGTATGTGTAGAAATGGCATATATATAGTAGAGCGAATGTTGGGTAGTGTATTAGCTGCAGATTCACGCCTTCATACATACAAATTTAGTAATAAAAATGTATTAAAAGTAAAAACAAAAACAAAAAACCAATTTAATGGAATTATTACCGAATTATTATGCAGAACAGCAAAAAAGATATATTAAGCGCAGCTGCCTACCGTTCTACAACAAACTTGATAAATATCTTACTTTGCGTTTGCTTAGATACAGATACAAAATCTCAAGTAGCACATACGTTTTTCTGCGGATAAGGAATAGGGTAGGCATATGTGTTTTAAATACAAAAATAATTACTTCAAAAATATTGTAAGAGTACTTGAATTTTGTAAACTTAAAATACTGAACAAATTTAAAGCAACTGCCGAAAGAGCAATAATTTAGTTCCACTTAATTTTCGTCTATAAATTGTTTTTCACAAACTCATATATTTCAGTTTTCGTTTTGCTTGATTTCAGATTAACTTGTACTATAGATGTAAATTTCAACACTTTACAAGCACGTTGGAATTGGCTCGGAACTGTGGTTTCATAGTTTCATACAGGGCTATCCAAATCACAGCCCACGGACCTCGTGCGGCCCGAGACATATTTTGAATCTTTCAGAATTAGACAAATTTTTCTTTTTTTTTTATTATATTTTAGTAACATTAATGAACCAAAATATTTTAAATAATTTATTAAACTGATTGTTATTTACAACTAGTGTCCAGTGCTGTAAGGTATCACATTAGAAATAAAATATTTTTCCCATATCAAACACTAATATTAATAATGTTGATATTGATGGAATTGTAAAAGATCAAGAATTAATAAAACTAAATTTAGCATTATCGCAGTGTTTTCATTTTTCTCTGACAAAATTATGAAGGTATGTATATATTTCTGCGGTCCCTCTAACCTATTCAGTTATTTGATTTGGCCCGAGACCTTAACAAATTATTGTAAATATAACAAACACTGCATCATTTAGTAAAAACGTATGAATGATGAACAGTAATGAAAACAACAAATTTTTATTATTTTAATTAATTTGTCTTGGATCTAAATGCCCCTTTTTTATTGTTGTGAAAGTTGACAAATTTGGCTAACAAACCTTAAGTCCACCTCAGGACGCACAGGAAGATATGCTGATCTACGGTGCGTCATCAATAAGAAGGTAAGTAAATGTAACTACAATTAACTAACTTTAAACTCATTTTCCGTTAAAGTTTAAACAGAATTGATAAGTCTTTTATTTAGATCGATAAACATGTATAGTTTATGTTGTTGGAGGTGTTCGTTACTATTATACAATAACTATTTATGCGTCAGATTAAGTGTATAGAATCTATTCTTTCTTGTCAAGTATTTCAAGTTGGTATTTCGTTAAAAATTTATCTCTATCTGATCCAGCGGAGAAAGTCGGACTATTCATTCCAGGTTGAATATTTTGAAAAACCCTGAATGTTCTTAAAGAAGGTAACATCAATCTACATCTTCAATAAAATTTAGAGAAGCGGAATTGAGTATCTCGAAAACATCCACTTATCGCATTTAAACCAAATATTTAAGCTAGCGAGAAATGAAAGGCAACAAAATGTCATACTAATTTTATTGGACACCCTGTAATTTTTGCACGGCAAAAAACATATTTACCGATGAAGGAAATGCTTTTTATTAACGTAGGAACTATATAACATATAGCACCCACCGAGAACCTTATAGGCTGTCATATTAGATGCAATAACTTTACTGCAATTACTTTAAATTTAATGAAATTACAATAGTCCATCAGTAAATGATGTATCTTAGTGATTACTAATAGATAAACTCACTACAAAGAGATTATATACTCCTACTTTTAATAAATAGTGTTTATTTTTGTAATACATCTTGCATTTCAATTGACTGATTTACATTTACATTAAGCAAAACTTGTGACTAAAGTGCTTTATATTCATTGGCTTCTGTTAAAAACTCCAAGTACATTTTACATCTCGTTAAATTCAAATAAGTGTCCTTATCAAGTCTCTCGTGAACAATGCTCTACTGTCAAAAGTATTTCAATCAACTTTTCTTATATATAACTTATAAAATATTTAAAATCTCCAACATTTGTCTATCTTACATATCTAAATCGATATCTGTTTATTTATCAAAGAGATAAATTGCTACTCATAACTTGTTCAAATATTTTTAAAAGGTAACTACAATTTTTAAGACATATTATTAAATTCCTGCACAAGATATTATAACAACAATCTGTCATAAGTCAGCGCAATAACTTCAGTACTTTTGTTTCCATCATCTGCAAGTCAAGTATTTATACAAAACCTGATACTTCTTAAATCTCAATAGCAACATTTTCTCTTCCGTTTTGTCTAAGTACATTTATAAACAACATGTGGAAATTATACTCTATAAGAAGCTATTATATTAATTTAAGCGGCATGTACTGACTTCCATACACGCTAAACTTGACTTAACAGTACATTCAATTTATTATTCACAGCATTAAAGATTGCTCGGTTGCTTGAACAAATCAATCATTTTAGTTTTTATTAATAACGGAATGACTCCAGAGTTAAAATTAAAAACACTAACAAGATTTTGAAAAATTTAGACAATAACATATTCTAATACTAAGAGATTATCCGTTTATGGTTC